TTCCACATGACAAGCCTAAGGAGGAGTTACTTCCTTGATCCATGAGCTTTTGTTAAACGTGCTGAACAAATACATACTTATGTATCTATAGTCAGAGGTTCGGGACAATTTGTCAAAAATTAAAGCAAATGTAACGAATGAGTACTTCTGCTCGGGTTGGTAAGATTAAAAAAGGGTAATTTGGCCAAGAAGTGTAACTTAAGCTTCAGTTATATCGATGATCAAATATCGTTCAAAAACCACCAAGTTGCCAATTCTCTCCACTAATTTACCCACCTGAACTTAAAATAGGGGAAACGTCTTTCAACTGATGGTTTGTTTCAATTGCTTCGGCATCATGTCTCAGCGGTCAGCTGACATTACCACGCGACATCTATGGTCATGGTAGTCACGGTTCTTTAAAGGCACAATGTTACACATTTTCGACAATATTTTTACCTATAAAATGTGCATGATGCTATGAAAGACATATTATCCCTTACGACTTGGCTGAAATCGATAATTAAAACTTCGAGGCGGACAGCTTCCAAACAGAGAACACTATACCATATATGGAATGTATACAATTGCTCCGTACATGGAAAACTGTCGCACGCGGTGTTATCGGTGTTTGCCGAACTGGTTTCAATCACAAGTTGTGCGTAGGATATTCGTAAAAAGCGCTCCAAGGGCATAACTCTATAAGGTTCGCTTGAAATAATGTACGGCTGGTAGAGGGTGTGAGAGCCGATTAAGTGCAATTTAAACAACAATGAATAATAAATGAACATAAATATTATTGGCTAGATATTTGAAAACAACATATGCTGCTGTAACACAGGCTTCGTCGAGATCCCAGTTGCGTAGATCGATGCTCATGATGTTGATCACTGGATTGTCTGGTCCAGACTCGATTATTTACAGACTGTAGCCATATAGCTGGAACATTGCAGAGTGCGGCGTTAAACAACAAATGAACCAACCAACCAATCAAGAATTTGGAGAACCAAGGAGAACAATGTATAGATGAACAGTTTCTTCATTACAATGGAGCGTCGGTGTAGTTCTTATCTCACATGCTTGATAAAGGTGTTAGAACCCACTCGATAAGGTCGATCCCATTGATTGTAATAAAGAAGTTGCTCATAGATATACAGTTGCCTTTCCTTTTACACAAGCGCCTGGACGTGCCTGTCCCCTCGTCTGCTTTAGTTATATCTAAACACTTGACAAGATAACATTGATTAATCAATCAACGTATTATCTGTTAATATTTTGATTGGCGTTATCGGCAACTCAACTGACGACGCTGCTCTAACTGCACTGTCATGTGCATAGTACACAACATGTAATATATTCACCACTTGAAACCGTTTTAGAACCCAATCCTAGATTTAATAATTAGTGAGTGAGTTAAGGTTTACCTTTTAGCAATATTCCATCAATATCACTGCGGGAAACACCCGAAGCGGGCTTCAGACATTGAACCCGTAGGGAATCAAACACGGGTCTTCGGTGTGACGGGCGAATGTTTCAACCACGAGGCTACCCCACCGCCCCGATTGAATAATTACACCAGATTCGAACCACTGATTGCTATGTACCCTTGACACTCTCAGAGGTAGGGGTGAGCTTTTTGTGTTATTTTGCATAGTCCAGGTAATCCGAGTGCTGCCACCATTAACGAATGTTTGCAATAAAGTCATTAACTGAACATCAGGTACACAAGTGTAGGGATTGGACGGTAAAACATGGATGGCAAGAAGGTAGTAATTGTCGTATTGTATGCAATTTACCTGAAAAGATGAGAGTCGTCGCTGTTTTGAGTACATTAAGTGAATTTCACTCTTACAAAAACTACCCGTACATGGAACTGCTGTAGCCTCAGGTACATAACTGTACGTACACATTTACACGCATATAGACGTTTGCAGTGTACAAGGTTTTCGTAAGCACAATCCAATCAATAACGATCAGTAGGAGTGAGTGAGTGAGAATGGTTTAACGCCGCTTTTAGCAATATTCCAGCAATATCAAGGCGGGGGACACCAGACATGGGCTTCACACATTGTACCCATGTGGGGAATCGAACTCGGGTCGTCGGCGTGACGAGCTAACGCTTTAACCACTAGGCTACCCCTCCGAGGAGAACTGATGATGATGACGACAACGAGGATGATGATGAGTAGTAGCAGCAGTAGTAGTAGCAGCAGCAGAAGTGGTTTTGAGAGAGTGGGTGAGTTTGGTTTTACGCCACAATATTTAGCAATATTCCAGCAATATCACCAGAAATAGGCTTCACGCATTGTATTCATGTAGCAGCAGCAGCAGAAGTGGTTTTGAGAGAGTGGGTGAGTTTGGTTTTACGCCACAATATTTAGCAATATTCCAGCAATATCACCAGAAATAGGCTTCACGCATTGTATTCATGTAGCAGCAGCAGCAGAAGTGGTTTTGAGAGAGTGGGTGAGTTTGGTTTTACGCCACAATATTTAGCAATATTCCAGCAATATCACCAGAAATAGGCTTCACGCATTGTATTCATGTAGCAGCAGCAGCAGAAGTGGTTTTGAGAGAGTGGGTGAGTTTGGTTTTACGCCACAATATTTAGCAATATTCCAGCAATATCACCAGAAATAGGCTTCACGCATTGTATTCATGTAGCAGCAGCAGCAGAAGTGGTTTTGAGAGAGTGGGTGAGTTTGGTTTTACGCCACAATATTTAGCAATATTCCAGCAATATCACCAGAAATAGGCTTCACGCATTGTATTCATGTAGCAGCAGCAGCAGAAGTGGTTTTGAGAGAGTGGGTGAGTTTGGTTTTACGCCACAATATTTAGCAATATTCCAGCAATATCACCAGAAATAGGCTTCACGCATTGTATTCATGTAGCAGCAGCAGCAGAAGTGGTTTTGAGAGTGGGTGAGTTTGGTTTACGCCACAATATTTAGCAATATTCCAGCAATATCACCAGAAACAGGCTTCACGCATTGTATTCATGTAGCAGCAGCAGCAGAAGTGGTTTTGAGAGAGTGGGTGAGTTTGGTTTTACGCCACAATATTTAGCAATATTCCAGCAATATCACCAGAAATAGGCTTCACGCATTGTATTCATGTAGCAGCAGCAGCAGAAGTGGTTTTGAGAGAGTGGGTGAGTTTGGTTTTACGCCACAATATTTAGCAATATTCCAGCAATATCACCAGAAATAGGCTTCACGCATTGTATTCATGTAGCAGCAGCAGCAGAAGTGGTTTTGAGAGAGTGGGTGAGTTTGGTTTTACGCCACAATATTTAGCAATATTCCAGCAATATCACCAGAAATAGGCTTCACGCATTGTATTCATGTAGCAGCAGCAGCAGAAGTGGTTTTGAGAGAGTGGGTGAGTTTGGTTTTACGCCACAATATTTAGCAATATTCCAGCAATATCACCAGAAATAGGCTTCACGCATTGTATTCATGTAGCAGCAGCAGCAGAAGTGGTTTTGAGAGAGTGGGTGAGTTTGGTTTTACGCCACAATATTTAGCAATATTCCAGCAATATCACCAGAAATAGGCTTCACGCATTGTATTCATGTAGCAGCAGCAGCAGAAGTGGTTTTGAGAGAGTGGGTGAGTTTGGTTTTACGCCGCAATATTTAGCAATATTCCAGCAATATCACCAGAAATAGGCTTCACGCATTGTACTCATGTAGGAAAACGAGCCCGGGTCTTCGGTGTGACGTGCGAACGCTTTAATCACCAGGCTACCCCACCAGCCAGTAGTAGTAGTAGCAGTAGTAGTAGTAGCAGCAGCAGCAGCAACAACAACAGGAGCAGCAGAAGCAGTGGTTACAGTGACAGCATAAGAACACTCTGAGACACCTCCGTCCATTGTGTTTGAGTTGCTTTGTTTTTTCAAAACTTTCGGCCTACGACGAGGACAGTATAAGAGCTACAAAGCTTTGTACTCGAGGTTCCCAGCTAAACGTTCACACTATCGGAACGGGTTGTGACTTATTCTTGCTGGTATTAACAGGTCAAACATAATATATCGACCGCTTCGTAGAACAGAATACAAAAATCGAAGCTCGGGTTTTGAAAAGCGCTGTTATCTTCTACTCATGTTGAGTTTACTGTTTGTCTGACAAATACAGGTTTAGTAGTGGGGAGACGTGAGGCGAATCTGGTTATAACATGGCGTTAAGGAATGTTGCGTTTATTATGGGACCTGCGTGCAGCTATGTGTGAGTGAGTGAATGAGTTTATTTTTACGCCGCACTCAGCAATATCCCAGCTATACATGTATGACGGCGGTTTGGACCAGACAATGATGAAACCGGTCATCAACAGCATGAACATCGTTCTGCGCAATCGGGAACCGATGACATGTGTCAACCAAGCCAGCAAGCGTGACCACAATCCCGTTAGTCGCCTCTTAGGACAAGCATTGGTTACTGAAGATCAATTCTAACCCGGATCTTCACGGGTAGCAGCTATGTGTGTTGCTGACTGTACTAATACGGGGGCGGTGGGAGCCTAGTGGGTAATGCGTTCGCTCGTCACGTTTAAGATCCGGGTTTGATTCCCCACATGGGTACAATGTGTGAAGCCCATTTCTTGTGTCCCCCAGCGTGATCTTACTAGAATATTGCTAAAAGCGGCGTAAAACTGTACTCACTCACTGTTTTATAGTGTTTGCCAAGTGAAATACCACGCATTGGTGAACAAATGAGACATTTCACAGACTGCGGGGCGGTTTTGTCCAGGCAGGGTAATAATATGTACCGTTATAAACTTCTTTTGGTTTGACGCGGCCGAGAGTTCGAACCATGGACCTTCCGCCTGCCGGGATAGTGGGAATGATAAATGGCTCCAGGCACGGATGTCTGACCAGCCCTGACAAACTCATTTTGGGTAGATGATTTTTACGTTGGGTTCTGACATCATAATCTTTCATTTTTGTTTGGTTGTGTATGTATAAATATATGTAACAGAGGTATTCGTATACACTGTATGTTGGTTCAATGATGACGAACACTTGTGTGGGGTTTCAGGGATTTATTCGGCGCTGGTGACGTGGGATAAGGAGATCCCCAGTTGGCTGAACTATAACAAAACGCCCTGAATAATAAAATATCCATCGATTAATACATGTCTCTTGTAATGAAATGCGTATCATGTCATACATTCAATATGGTAACCACTATACTATTAATACATCTGATAACCGTCAATCATCCAGATTTAAGGAAAGACATGTACTCTGATTATCACTCACATATATGACAACTATAATTACTAATATTTACAAGCACATTCTGAAAACAATACCTTACCTCGTCTCAGGGACGCTGGCAGAATAGTCCAACAGCTACTAAAACATCTGATTCTTAGTGAACCTAAATAAACAAAATATTGCCTAAGTATACTGCTAGTATATACAGATATACATCATAAATGGCATTAGCGAACACATAAATAGTTATCTTATTGACCCTAATACATACATAAATATGCATATAGAAACTAAACCATATAATAAACATGCATGATACACATTACTGTATCATGCCAATCATGAAATAGCTAATACATATACTTATACATACTACATACTACATATGCATGGTACAAATTACAGCATCATGGTAGTATAAAATACCCTACTGTTCAAATAAACTCACGCCAGTATACTAGTGTACTGGTACACAATACATCATTTATTTGTCTAAAATACTAAGCATGCATATATTTATAGACAAACACCTTACATACACTAAATATGATAAAACACTATTCCTCAAAACATGTAATCTAATACACTAAATCCTAATAGCCCTACTATACATGTATTACTAAAAGATCTAACTTAACTTACCCCATAATGTGCTGGTGCTGTGCAGGTATTGTGGTCTCAAGGAGAAAATGTATACTGCCACAAATGAAAGGCAGTAGAAAGCTTTAAATATGACGAGAAGGTGAAATCTTTGAAACAATAGGAACCTTGACAACAGGCCAATGCAGAGATTGAACCTGACACAGATCACTTAACCTTAACAATAGACCCCAAGCTAGCTTACCAGTGAGTTAGTTAAACAGTGCAAGTGTTAGTGTTAACACAGGCCAGTATGGTAATGATAAAGTTTTATACCTAAGTTTTAAAATAATGAAGTTTAACACATTAAAATGAAACACTTTTATTTACACACTGTTACATATATGAATCGTTTTCGATCTATGCATGAATAAGTGACGTCAAAAGCATCTTCGTGTTGAATATAAGGTGTCCGCTCGGGAAAGCCACATTTGAAAAATACCAATTGCCGCTAAAGCCACATTTCAAGTACAAACCTCGGTGTCGCGAATAGCCGCGAAAGAAGTAAGGGAATCAATACCGTTTTTTCAAATAAGCGTCACCCATTGATCACAAATTAGTGACTTGTCCTTTGTTTGTTTAGTTAACATATGATGGGTGACTTTGTTATTCTCGTTGAAGAACATATGATAACATAATCTTTCTATGCTTATTTTGTTCTTTAATCTTGCATTCTCTGCTTTTATTGTAGATTGTATTATCTTAATTCCTATGTATAGAATCTGTTATGAGATACAATGATACATGCTAATGGGTCATTCTATATAGAAAAGGGCAATTTCAGGTTTTTATTTGTATTCTTTATATGTCTTCATGTAAACTACTTAGGTTTGTATGACTGGTATATTGTATCAGCAGAGAAGTTTGGACAAGAATTTTCCATAACTTTTATTGTGACGTTTCAACTTTAAATCGAAATGTCATTACCGCAACGACGGCAAAAATACTGATTTTGGAAAATCTAGTCGAATATAACCGAATATGTACACACACTGGTTTTTCGCAAACTCCGTTCAAGCTCTAACGAAAACTACCTTTTCACTTAAGGTAGAACAACATATTTTCAGTCAGACAGACTGACATTCTAATTCAATAATGTAGGTCATTGGCCAATAATGAAACAAAATACGAGTATAAAGAATACATATATGCTGAATATAGGGTGAACATTGAAATGTGATGTTGATCACTGGATTGTCTGGTCCTGACTCGAATATTTACAGACCGCTGCCACGAAGTTGGAATATTGCTGAGTGCGGCGCAAAACAATAAACAAAAACCACAAAATTCGATGATCCTTACCTATTAATTTTATAAAGCCATATGTCACTAGATTGCTTTACCCGTATAAAACAACACCACACATCCATTTCAAATTGCCATTCACAATACACTTAAAACATACATTGGTGGCTAATTATCAAGACTGACTAATCAACCATTTTATTTCATTTTATTTTTATTTTTATATTTTTTCTCACTCTTCATTATAAATAAAAGACCACGATTGGTATATATCGACCTACAAATCACGTAGGTCAGGGAACCACGGTCGTTTTCACACATAGCTCCGTTCAACATAACCAATAGAAATACACTGATTACAAGGCTATCGATTATTTGCTGTTAAGATAAAGTCAAAAGTTGGGAGTTCTTAATCGAAGAAATTACTTATATCTTTACGAGTTGCTGTTATGGTAGTTCTAATCATATTTTCACTATACACAAACATCTCGTTAAGTACATGTATTCCTTTTCCTCTTTTAATAAAGAGCCATCATTTCTGTTTAACGATGGTATAAACCTTTTTTTGGCCTATTTCTTTCTAGGTTGTAAAAATGACGTGTTTTCTTCTCTTTTTTCTCTGCCTATCTTACTCTAGATCTAATAAACACACCTTCTCTTCTCTTTCTGTATAAATCTTCCAGTTTATCTAACAATTCTTTCTGTTTTTTATTCATTATCCTCACTCCGGTCGTCTATTAACATGACTGTCCTCTAAAATAGCTAGATCCTTGACTCTTTTCCTCTTTGTGTGCAATTTTTCTCTTCTGTCTACTGTTATATCTGCTTATATACATAATTCTAAACTTGATCCATTCCCATGCCTTGTATCAAATCAATCCGGCACCTGACACACTTTGGACATTTTAAGAAGAAATGATTGGCATCTTCCACCTGAAGATACAATTAACATGCCGAGTCCTACACAAGCAGTGGGGTACCCTGCTAGTGGTTGAAGCGTTCGCTCGCCACGACAACCACCCGGGTTTGATTCAATCCGTGAAGCCCATTTCCTGTGTCCCCCGCCGATATCACTGGAATATTGCTAAAAGCAGCGTAACACTAATCTCACTCACTCACTACACAAGCTGTGACCTATCATTCTAGTCCTACTCAAGGGGTCTGTTTTTAAAGAGCACAGCTTGGGCGATTTATCTGTATTGAAGAATTGATCTTCAGTAACCCATGCTTGACGTAAGGGGCGGCTAACGGGATCGGGTGGTAAGGCTCGCTGATTTGGTTGACGCATGTCATCGTCTCCCAATTGCGTAGATCGATGCTCATGCTGTTGATCACTGGATTGTCTGATCCAGGCTCAATTATTTACAGACCGCCGCCATATAGCTGGAGCATTGCTGAGTGCGGGATAAAGTTTAACTCACTCACTCATTCACTCTCTTTAGTGGTTTGTCGCCTACAACCTGAATAGTCAACCTTGGCGTCAGTGTGTCGGATTAAAAGACTTAAACAGAAGTTTGATTTTGTCATCAGATATACATAATTGTTTTGAATGTGTTCATTATATACGTGTCACCAATTACTATGAATCGTGACATAAAAATATGAACACGACACTACATATTTTAATGAGTGAGCGAGTATGGTTTTACGCCGCTTTTAGCAATATTCCAGCAATATCACGACGGGGGACACCGGGAATGGGCTTCACACACATATATTGTTATGCCCTTGATTATTGTGCAGTGTGGATTAGCTCCCGTGGACTAACGAAGTTGTTTGATTTGCGTCTACATTACAATATCGAATCAAACAGTTGCCTGTTGGCATCATGCTTAACAGAAGCTTATGTCCAACAAGATCATATTCTGAAAATTATTGATAGGGTGGCCTACTGGTTAGAGCGTTCGCTCGTCATGCCGAAGACCCTGGTTCGATTCCCCACATGGGTACAATGTGAGAAGCCCATGTGTAAAACAGGGTTAGGCATCCTCAGTTTGTCATGATGGTTAAGTAAATGACCATTGAAACTCTCGCGAAAACAGGTGAAAACGAACTGTGCACCTCTGTATGTAATGAAATGTTAAGGTAAAAACAACTTCCATACTGTAGACAACACAACTTCCAGGGGCGTAGGAACGGTTTTCAGGGGGAGCTAATTTATGAAAAGTATTGAAAATAAAAAAATAAAAATTGTAGTTATGGTAAGGTAGATATGGTTTCGTCTTGAAACCACCACCACCCACCCCCACCCCCTGTTCCTACACCCCTGACTTCACGCTGTTCAAGCAAAGCAGCTCGACGCATTACAATCTTAATACACAGGATTTTACTAGTGCTTCATCTGTTTCCTATGAAGTTGTACAGTACAGAGCCCACATGCCGGTGTCATTTCTGTGTCATTTGAATAGAATATATACGTAATTAATATTTCAGTATATTTTCTGTACCTGGATACTATTCAAGTATATGTGGTATATGGGTTAGTATACAATGTGTCGCTATAATTAACGTGTTCCGTTTTCTTTCAATTTCGTCTTCTAGTTCGTTCTTTTAGCGTCTCCACGCTTGAAGAGCTCCACAACAAACAACACGTGTTTGTGTGACAGAACGATGTTCCTCAAGACTTGGAGATGTCTGGCGAAAAGAAATGTCAGTGGCACGTGGATAAGACTATTCTCATCTCATGACAATCCATTGGTAAGTTTCACAGTACAAAATCGTCCTGACTTTAAGAAAGGCATTAAAAAACTGTGAGAAGTCCGAATCTCTTCCGTACTGAGAATAAACATCGAGACTGCATGTGTACCTCGTGATGGTTTATGCCCGGACTGTCGACAACAAGAAATAATCCGTCCAAATTACTTGTCGACAGTCCGGGAAAAGGGAGGTGATGTTCTACATGAGTGACTTCACTCCCAGTGTTCTCGAAATTAACAAACCAATTAAAACAGAGTGTGATATATATAGTAGACAATATATTTATTCAGTCAATATAACAACATGCATGTATCATGCATGTATCATATGTCACACAATATAACATATTTGTATATATATTTCATAAAGCTCACACAATATATTTGTGTGTGTGTTTTATATAAATAAGTGATTTCTGCAGGTGTATAAGTAATAAATATATAAAAGATGAGTCCAGTTATTTCTTCTTGCCAAAACTCCTTTATATGTGCACTAAAGTAATCTGAATGTTCAGCCAAGATGAAGCAATTCTGACACATGGTCTGTGTAATTCAAATCAGTAAGTCTGTCGGCAAGAAGGTGAGCCTTCAAGGATCGAATCCTAGCGTCGATGATGATTCGGTAGCGACGTCTACGGACGGGATCTCTCTGCTGTCCTTGGATCTGCTGAATTTTCACTTCAGTAGCTGACTCATTCTCTAGATTGATGTCTGCAAGGGTCTGTGGAAGCTTAGGGACGGTCTTGTGTCTTTGCTGGTTCTCATGGAGTCAAAGGCAGGAATGTGTTGGAGAAGGGCGTCCGGAGCAGCTGCTGGAGTCTTTCTCAAGTTGCTGACTTCTTCATGGTAGATCTGGGGGATAGGCGTAGTGTTGTCAGTCTTTGCACGATGATGGAGCTTTGACTTGAATGCATCGACTTCAGTAAGAAACAGAATAGCAGGATGGTTGGGACCTTGACCGACCATATTCAGCAGGTTGTTTTCTGTAACCAGATATGATGGACAGGTTGCATCTGTACATCTCCAGTACGTTTTCTGACCTCTGCATCTGTTGACTCTGTACTTGAATCCATTGTGGTAAAGATTCTGACCTCTATGAATGTTGTCCATCAATGTAACCCGCACCACAGCATTTGCCATTTTGACAGTGGTAACAAAATATTCATGATCTATTATATATACCCAAATGCTAAATGTTTACAACAGCATTTCGATAATCCTTCTACTCCCAATATCACAACATAATTTGTAAGCACTCTGTTTCTTTCCGGATGTTGTTGCATGTTAAACTCCAAAATGGTAATCCTTCCACTCGCATACCGTAAAATAATAGTCTGTTTTTGCAACCTTAATTCTCTTGCAAATTGTTAAAAAGACATTCTCTTTAATCAACTTAATTCATTTACTCATGATATGAGCATAGCTGTAGCCACCATAGCCACTTGCAAACCACTAAGCAAACATTCTCTTTCATTAATTAACACCGTCACGGTATGTTGACCACGCGATGTCGACACTCTGGGTTTTTTGTTTTGTCGACGGTTAGGAACATCCTATTTTTCATTTGTCGACAGATCGGGCTGACACCTTTAACGATGGGAATTAAGCCGATGAGAGGTTGTCGGATCCTGTATGTCGTAATAATCATACAGATGAAATTCACATTTACTTTAGATTCACATCAGGTTCATCTGTTTCTGTACGAGATATATTTATGCAGCTAACTCAAATTTCTAAACTTCAACATGATTATATTGATATGTGGATGTTAAATGTGACTAAATATTATGCTGTTTCTACATAAACTAGGGTGCTGCTTAGTTAGTGTGGAGGGACCGGGGTTTGGCCTTAGTTTAACAGGTTTTAAGGTCCATCTTCCCACCTTTCTATCATCATAAAAGGTCCCTAAAACTATATAATGTCTATTCTCTTCATGTCTTATGTACAAGTAATCATCTTCACTAGTCTTTCCATGCATACTCACATTATCATTACCATGCCATCATAAAGATCACATTATTTTCAGGGCATTCCTCCTTCTTCAAGTAAAAAGTCACAAGAGGAACTGAGAAGAGAACACATGGCTCGAGGGTTGCCACGGAAACGTCAGATTGATGGGGTAAAACATGTCATCGTTGTTGCATCAGGAAAAGGAGGAGTTGGAAAATCAACAACAGCAGGTGAGTCCAATTGCTTAGATTGATGCTCATGCTGTTGATCACTGAATTGTCTGGTCCAGACTCGATTAGTTAGAGACCACCATCATATAGCTGGAATACTGTGGCATTAAACAACAAACACTTCCAATGCAATTCTTAATTTCCTTCCTGCTTCCCAACTGTTATAATATAATGATGAAGGTAAAAAAACCACAACACTAGTTAATTTACAAATGAACCAAAGCATATTTAGAAATAGAATAGGGACGATTACTTTGATAGGTAACTATGGTAACTATGGTAAGCCAGAAAAGACCAACATTTAGTTGTGATCTGGCTTTATGGCATGTCTTCGACCGGCAGCTATGTCAGCTCCAAAAGCTAGGAAGGTTTGAAATAAATGGCATCAAGTTTGGTAGAATGTCCAGAGGGGGAAGGGTTTTCAGTATCTGATTCCCTGAGTTTAGTTTATGAATTTGTGCACAGCATGTTCAAAGTTCTGTTTTCATGTATTTGCCCAATTTTCTGAGAGAAACTTCATTTACCTTTAGCTCTATGTCTTTATTGTAAACATGGTTACAACATATGATACAGATACATTGACTTTACCATTCTGATTTGAAAATATGTCATTGTCACTCAAGCATGAAATATCAAACTCTTCACTATGAAACAGCAAGATTAGGGCTGGGATGGGTAACTCGGATACCCGGGTCTGATGGGTAAAGAGTTGGACCTGGGTACAAATCACATTACCCGGACCCGCTTTTTATGTGACTAAACATGATAAATGAAGAATTGATTGAATGTGTTTGTTGTTATTGTATTGACAAGATTGTTGTCTTATGTTTGAAAACTTGCACTGAAAACTCACAACATATCAACTGTTGACAACTAAGCATTGTTTACTTGTAAGTTTAATGTTATACACTTGTACCTTCAATTGTATTTTTCCTGTAGGTTGTTGGAGCGTCAGTTGTTTGTAGCTCCTTGTTTGTTATAGGGGATGATTGTTGTTCAGATGTTTCCGCATATCGATGACATACCCCCTCCTTTGTGACATAGCTACACGAGCACAAAATGCATTTTGTCTTTGTGCCTGATGCGACGGATTCAAAATATTTCCAGATGCCACTCTTAATCTTGGTCATGACTGATTTTATTGAAGGGGAATAACTTGCAATTAGTGCTTAACTGGTACCAGTGTCGAGTCGGGTAATAGGGGATCAGGTACCCGGGTAGGAAATCTGGACCCGTCCCAGCGCTGAGTTTCATCACTGACCTAATATGTGCTGTGACATGCACAGCTGTGAGGTCAAGGCCAGCACACCCAATGTAGCTGCAGCTGTGACACTACAGGGAAACCCCATACAATAACTGATGGGGTTACCTTGGATAACTGACCATCTCCGTGGTGTAGTGGTTAGAGCGGAAAGTCGCACGTTCCATCCCTGGCCACGTCATACCAAAAGACGTTAAAATATGGTACTTGTTGGTTCCTGCCTGGTGTTCGGCAACAAGGGTACAACAATGGGTACAACAAGGATTGGTCGGCTCGGAGTCAGTATAATGTGTCTGAGTGGGGTATTCATGCTTAACTGTGGCATGGTATCTCAGTGAGCTAGCGCTATAAAACCAGCTTAACGTCTGGGCTAGTACAAGCAGCCACACATACACACGCATGAACGTCGTCATACGAGCAAATATTCTCAAGTGCGACATTAAACCACCTTTCACTTCACCTCACCTTGGAGGTGTTTTCAGGAACATTAATTATACACTTATATAGTTAACTGGTCACACTTGACTGGTCTGTCTGATAATTGGGCTGTCTGACAAATGGCACGTCTGACACTTGGAAGTGAACCATATAGACAATTTGAGAATGATAATGGTGACACTCAGTAAGTAGCAATAATACTGGCTAGCAATAAGGGTGATAGTATCTGAGTCTCGTCGTAACATGATCTGTGTTTCACATCTTTTGCAGTGAATCTTGCTTTGGGCCTAGCAGCCAATGAACCGGTAAGCTATTTTCATTTTCCTCTTGGGATAGTGAGGGAATCTAGTGGTTAAAGGGTTCTCTCGACATGCCAAAGACCTGGGTTCAATTCCCCACATAGGTACAATGTGTGAAGCCCATTTCTGGTGTACCCTGCCATGATATTGCTTGAATATTGATAAAAGCAGCATAAAACTAAACTAACTCACTCACTCATTTTCGTCTCAGATGAGCATATATGTGTAAATATTTAAATATTATGTATAAATATTTAAATATTGTGTGTAAATATTTAAATATTGTGTGTAAAGTTTAAAATATTATTCGTAAATTACAGAGTTGTTTAAAAAGGGTGTTTGGAAAGCAGGGCACCAGATAAGGGCCGTATCGGCGTATGTACGGATAAAAAGTATGCACAATACGGTAGGAAATAATTTAGAAAACGTAGCAGATACGCACCACAACAATGGTGTACGGTCTTAGAATCATTTGCAGACGTATTTATCTGAAAAAGTATTGTTTTTTTTGTTTATTGACCTGTTTACACAAGAGCAGCAATGTTGTGGTGCATATATGAAACGAAATGCAAGATTACTGATACTCCATTAAATTCCATTCAGTACTCTAAATGTACACTTAAGGTTTTCCAGTACTCCTATATTGAGAAAATGAAGAGCACGTACTCTGATGAAAAATTATCTGGACCCCTGGGAAAGTGTTTTATGATTTTCTGTGGTAGTGGTGATTTTCTGGGATCTACGACATTATGATGAGAAGTTGAGACAGATATTATGTAACTTAAGCTAAAAAATACAACAGTCATGCACAGAGATTGTGTCTTTATCATGATATCATTGTATCTCTAAATTCTTAATGACACCTCTAGTATGTGTCAGTTATACATAGTTGTTTGAGACTCACATGTGTTACAGATGAAGGACATTGGGCTGCTGGATGCTGATGTTTATGGCCCATCAATACCCAAACTGATGAACCTGCACGGAGAGCCAGAACTTACGACAGGTAGTAACATAGTTTAATACCACAGACATTAGTCCTTGTCAGTTTGTGTTTATTAGTGATATCCAATAACATTTTCATTAGAAGTCAAGGACCTGTGAAGATCTGGGTTTGAATTGGTCTTCAGCAACCCACACTCATCGTAAGAGGCTACTAACAGGAATCGGGTGGTTGATACATGTCTCCCAATTGCATAGATCAATGCTCATGATGTTGATCACTGGATTGTCTGGTACAGACTCAATTATTTACTGGCTGCTGCCATATAGCTGGAATATTGCTGAGTGGGGCGTAAAACAACATCAAAACCAAACCAAAGCAAGTCAAGTTTTGTTATGACTTCTCTACAAATGATCGGAGCCCAAATGTGTGTTGTTGTGGCTGACTGAGTGTCCTCATTACTAATTGACTCTTATTTCATTTTACAGATAATCTGATGAGGCCACTAGTGAATTATGGAATAAAATGGTAATGTATTAATAACACATAATTATTATGGTGTTTTTACAAACACTGTATGAAATAGTTTGTTTATATATTTGATATTTTCATCACATGGGCATTATGTCTGTGAAGCAGGTAAAGAAATTAATATGAAAATCACAAGAGTAGTGTGTGGAATCCAGGGCTGAGTGGGTCCCCGGTACTCTATGACAGGTGTAAAAACCAACAGTGGGGTCAGGTGGTCTTGAGTGGGTCCCCGGTACTCAATGACAGGTGTAAAAACCAACAGTGGGGTCAGGTGGTCAGGTGGTCTTGAGTGGGTCCCCGGTACTCTATGACCGGTGTAAAAACCAACAGTGGGGTCAGGTGGTCTGAGTGGGTCCCAGGTACTCTATGACAGGTGTAAAAACCAACAGTGGGGTCAGGTGGTCTGAGTGGGTCCCTGGTACTCTATGACAGGTGTAAAACCAACAGTGACTGGTGTAAAACCAACAACCAACAGTGGGTGGTCAGGTGGTCTGAGTGGGTCCCCAGGTGGTCACAGGTGGTACTCTATGGTGTAAAACCAACAGGTGTAAAACCGAACAGTGGGGATCAGGTGGGTTGAGTGGATCCTCGGTACTCTATGACAGGTGTAAAAACCAACAACAGTGGGGTCAGGTGGTCTGAGTGGGTCCCCAGGGTACTCTATGACAGGTGTAAAAACCAACAACAGTGGGGTCAGGTGGTCTGAGTGGGTCCCTGGTACTCTATGACAGGTGTAAAAACCAACAACAGTGGGGTCAGGTGGTCTGAGTGGATCCCTCGGTACTCTATGACAGGTGTAAAAACCAACAACAGTGGGGTCAGGTGGGTTGAGTGGATCCTCGGTACTCTATGACAGGTGTAAAACCAACAGTGGGGATCAGGTGGGTCAGGTGGATCCTCGGTTGACAGGTGGATCTGAGTGGGTCCCAGGTACTCTGTGACAGGTGTAAAACCAACAACAGGTGGGGTCAGGTGGTCTGGGGTCTCGGTAATCTCTATGATCAGGTGTAAAACCAACAACAGTGGGGGGTCAGGTGGTCTGAGTGGATCCTCGGTACTCTGTGACAGGTGTAAAACCAACAACAGTGGGTCCCCGTACTCTATGTGTAAAACCAACAGTGGTCTGAGGGATCTGGTCTAAGGGATCCCGGTACTCTATGACAGGTGTAAAAACCAACAACAGTGGGGGTCAGGTGGGTTGAGTGGGTCCCCGGTACTCTATGACAGGTGTAAAAACCAACAGTGGGGTCAGGTGGGTTGAGTGGGTCCCCTGTACTCTATGACAGGTGTAAAAACCAACAACAGTGGGGATCAGGTGGTCTGAGTGGGTCCCTGGTACTGTATGACAGGTGTAAAAAACAAGAGTGGGGATCAGGTGGTCACAATGGGTGAGCTGGCAGATTGTGTATCATTATACCTAATTGTGTGGACTGTAGGGCTGTAAAACAAGCCATATCCCTTTATAAATTCAATTCACTAGTGACTATTATTAGAATCGAATATTCATGAATTTGGTTTTATAAAAAGAATGCTTTACTCTTGAATTTCTCTGTTACTTATCAAAGCATGATAAAGATCAAATATACCCACTCCAGACAGGATAACACTCCCATCTAGCATTTGATTTGTGGTCTCTGGTCCTTTTCTTGGTAAACACTATCAACATCGTCAAAACATGTCAAATAATGTGTTTTGTTTATGTTTCACTGAATATAACGAATAATAGATGAACTGAGAAAAATAATCATAATTGCACAATGACTCTTTTCCCCATGACACAAGTATTTCTTCCTCAGTGACATAGTGACTGAAACAAATGGCTGCTCCTTCAAAGACATATCTGAGGTCATGTTTGTCAAAACAGTTGACAAAAGTAGATAAATAAAATAAAGAAAGAAAAACAAAATTAACGTTGAAGAGGGTAGTCAGGTGTCTCTCTCCCACCCACACACACCCACCCACACACTCACCCATTTATCCAGTTTTAAATGGATACAATTTCAAATTATTAATATACGTTTAAGTAAAGTTGTGGTGATCCTTAGCAAAGTGTGAGTAGTATAAATGGAACACCATGACTATGGAGACTCCCATGACACAGCAAGTGCTCCTGATTGTCATTGTGTGTGCTGCAGTATGTCCATGGGATTTCTGGTGGAGGAGAATGCAGCCATTGTGTGGAGGGGCTTGATGGTGATGGCAGCCATTGAGAGACTCACCAGGCAAGTGAGTATGTTATTTTGATTATTGTATTATATTGTACTATGATTTGCTGTGAATAAAAAACATGAAAGAAGAACAATTTTTTTATTTTAATGCAAAAAGCCATGTTGTCTACATGTGCTATTAATCAAATAAAGGAAAACTAGGGGAGATTCCATTTATATCTGAAGGGGTAAACTTATTACTCATGCATGAAATAACAGTCACCAGACCATGAATTGTTGTTTTAAGACTGTAGGCGAAATGGGATGTAGGCGAAATTGGAACATGCCGTCTGCATCAAGCCTTCTCTGTACATTGTCATTTTCATGTTGTCTGATGCCTTCAACATTAAGCTCAATACCACAAAGAAGATGAGTGGTATGTTTGTGAGAACAAAATACTAATAGTTAAAATTCTGCAACAAAGTTTGTGAGAAACAAATTATTCTTGATACAATATGCGCAATTTGCTCTCATTATTACAATTAAGTGTTTGACAGCTTGGTTTAGAACATGAGTGGAGGACAGTGTATCGGCACACGTCTGTAGTTCTGTAGATATTACTTTGTAATTTTCAATGTCGCCCCTTACCATTATTATCATGATGATTAATCTTACAGGTGTCATGGACCCCACTGGATTACCTGGTCATAGACATGCCACCTGGGACTGGCGACGTCCAGTTGTCCATATCACAAAACATCCCAGTCTCAGGTACAAGTTTAGATCACGGGAGCTCAAGCTTTGAAGCTGCACAACAAATCATGCCAAAGACCTCAAAGGGCTTAAGTCTTGCCACACTCTGAAAACATTTCTCTTATCATCTAATAATGTCATATTCCACTGTCCTCTGCTAAACAACACGCTTATAGTGAATTGACAGATCTGGCTAACTGTTACATGTGTGTGTCTTGAACAGTTGTTATATGCTTTAGTCGAAATAACCGTGAAGATCCGGGTTAGAGTTGATCTTCAGTAACCCCTGTTTGGGTAAGATGGGAGTAATGGGATCTGGTGGTCTGGCTCACTGACTTGGTTGACACATGTCATCATATCCCAATTGCTCAGATCGATGCTCATGCTGTTGATCACTGGATTGTCTGGTTCAGATTTGATTATTTACAGACCTCCGCCTTATAGCTGGAATATTGCTGAGTGCAACGTAAGACTAAACTCACTCACTCACTTCAGTCGAAAGGCAGAACTAGGGTTGGAATGAACTAATATTGTGGTCCCATGGAATTTGTTACAACAATGGTTTACTGTAGTGCTGTTTACAGAGACCTTTCTCATTTGGGTTTCTGTTCAACAGGTGCTGTGGTTGTGACGACCCCACAGGACATTGCGCTGCAGGATGCACGTCGTGGAGCAGAGATGTTCCGGAAAGTGAACGTCCCGGTGCTGGGACTGATCCAGAACATGAGTGTCTTCGTGTGTCCAAAGTGCGGACACCAAGAACATATTTTTGGGAAAGATGGTGCAGAAGGAATTGCTAGGGAAATGAACTTGGACATTATAGGCAAGTAGCCTGACAAACAGAGTCTAGCAAAATCAGATTAGGGGATCTGTTTTCATGGTCGGGACAGTGGGATAGCTTAGTGGTTAAAGCATTCGCTCAACACACCGAAGACCCGGGTTCGATTCCACACATAGGTGCAATGTGTGAAGCCCCTTTCTGGTGTCTCAGCTGTGATATTGCTGGAATATTGCTAAAAACTGCGTACAACCATACTCATACGCTTGCTGTTGTCATGGTTACTCTACTGCCAGGGTTCTGATACTAGACAATGAAATGGGGGATTGTGTGGACAGTATGACCGACAGTACCATGAATTGTGTCTAACTCGTTGATTTGATGGTTTGATGATCATACCAAGACACAAGGTGGCATTTGTTATGGGCATGACGCTTGGCATTGGGGTGATATTTAAGCATGATTACTTTGAATGTCTTGGTAAGCACAAGTTCAGCTCACCTGTAAGATATCTATGTGTAAGAATACAAACTGTTGTCAGTGCAGAAAAGGTTTAAATGGCTGAATACTGATCGATGTGGGCCGTTGGGTAGCCTAGCGGTTCAAGTGTTCGTCAAGTCGAAAACCCAGGTTCGATTCTCCACATTCGTGCAATGCGTGAAGCCCATTTCTGGTGTTGCTGGAATGTTGCTATAAACAGCGTAAAACCTCACACACTCAATAGTGACATATCAGATAATAGTCTAAACAGGCTTGTCATACTCTTTTGTCAGTTTTGAAAGAAAGAAATGCACTGTGTGGGTTGTGATATACAAGTACCAATGTCAACATATAAATTCTGTGACCCTAATGTAAAGTGACTTGCCCTCCACAGGTGACATACCACTGCACAGACGCATCCGTGAGCTGTCCGACACTGGCCAACCTATTGTGATAGCTGAACCAGACAGTCCTCAGGTAACATCCATCTCCTACACTGTATCACTGGCTGGGTGATCTAAAGCTTGGGGTATTGATATACCAGTATAACACTGACACTCACTCACTCACTCACTATTGTGATAGCTGAACCAGACAGTCCTCAGGTAACATCCATCTCCTAGACTGTATCACTGGTTGAAAATATGGCATTATATCCAGGGTAGCATTATAACCAGGTAGGACAGTTGGATGCCCTGTGTAATCAACAAGGTGATTGAGCTGATGTCTCCTGTAATGAGCCTTGAATGACTGGATAATCCCAGCGTCTAGGGGTTGCAGGTGACTGGATAATCCCAGTGTCTAGGGGCTGCAGGTGACTGGATAATCCCAGTGTCTAGGGGCTGCAGGTAACTGGATAATCCCAGTGTCTAGGGGCTGCAGGTGACTGGATAATCCCAGCGTCTAGGGGTTGCAGGTGACTGGATAATCCCAGCGTCTAGGGTTGCAGGTGACTGGATAATCCCAGTGTCTAGGGGCTGCAGGTGACTTGTTGTTGTAGGTTGCAGGAAGTGTATTGTCACATGTGTTATCCTATCTGGGATTACAAGACTACTCAAAGCATTAATGAGTTTGGTCAAATAATTTGAGTCATGTAACTTAACCAATTAAGGTATCTATTCTACATGCAGCCAGTGTAATTGGCATTATAACCAGGAAAAATTACTTTTGCTCCAAAAACCACTGGCAAATGGCATTATAGCCAGGGTATTATAAATTCAGGAAATCCATTCTGGCCAAAACATGGCATAATATCCAGGGTGGCTTTATTACCAGGGACATTATAACCAGGGTGCACTGTATGGACAATTAGTGAATAATGCACAAAAGCACAGTAGAGCCTTGTCTAAATGGTGGCTGTAGCATAGCCTAGTGGTTAAAGCATCCACCCGTCATGCCGAAGACTGGGTTCAATTCCCCACATGGACACAATGTGTGAAGGCCAGACTTCGTGTCCCCTGCCATCATATTGCTGGAATATTGTTATTCCTAAATGTGGAAGTCCTGTGTATAGAGCTCAGGTCACAAAACAGTTGGAGTTAAGTGTGTGGCAGCTTGACTCCTGAGGGTTTCTAGGACTTCAGTCCTGCCCCACAACGAAGCACATGTGATACATGTGGTCTCACCTTAGGCAAGTGAGTTTGTTCAAAATTGCCTCAACAGAAAATGGGTACCTGGTGGAATAAAGTCAACCTTCTAGAGCCTCATAGGCAGCTTAGATTATCCAGGTTAATAATAATTAGATCGCATGCTCTGAGCAGGATATGAAGCCAGGAAAGGCACGTTATAAGTATTCTCATCAATATTGTTAAAAGGGTAAAACCCAAGTCTACCTGAATGGTAAGTAACTGGAATTTTGCAAAATGTTTTACAAGACCTACTTGTTCTTTTACAGGCAGAGACTTACAGATCTATAGCAAAGACAGTCTTAGAGCGTTTACAGAACACATGAGTCAGCCAGATGTTCACCTGATTGGTCTGATGTAACCTTATAGTGGACATTGCCAGTGTAGGAGACTGCCCACTCCGTGTTCTCTATAATAACAACCTGGAACCTGTCACAGATCCAAGTGATGTGTGAGAGCCAAGAGGCAAGATCTATTCATCTGGGTTTATGTCTTTGTCTACCAGCAAAACATCTAGTCTTGATTCCAGGACGTTTGCCTCCAATAGGGAGGGTTTCACAATTCCATGTAGTTTCCTGACTGGATTGTGTGCACAGGCTGCTGTGATGTAGCTGGAAGATCAGGTGAAGCTGGAATATCTGCAGTATGGCTGAGGGATAAACCAGAATAAAGTGAAATTAATTTGATTCTTTGATTCGGAAAAGTAATCGTCTACATAATATTGCAAAGAAATGTAACCATCCAACGAAGTGGGCTAACTTCAGATCAGCAAGAAATAAAGTTACTTCCTCTAAACACTGGTTTCACTGATGACAAGACCAAGAAGATGATGTCCACTGCCATCAGTGATATGACCTGTGCTCAACCTACTAGGGAGAAGGAGAACTCTTTGCCTATCCTTGGTGATCATGACCTAACAAATATTTTGACTGACTGAGAGTTTGATGAAATCCTCAAAACTCTCCCTGTACCTGAGTCATCTGTTTCTGTGTCTGATAACAATATGCATGTACTTAATCACAGCATGACAAATAGACTGATGATTCAGATGCCAGGACCAGTTATTAAAACTGTAATGTGACCATCAATTATAACTTCAACTCTAAGCAGTAATAAAGTAGCTAGATGAACAATCATCTATATATTCAGACTGATATCGTCTCTTTAAGATTTGTTATTGTCCCCAGCCGCAGCGCGGAACGGGGGACTATGTATTCAGCAGCGTCCGTCCGTACGTACCTACGTACGTCCCGATTCTTGCTAACGTGATATCTCATGAACTGTTCTACCCAATGTCTTCGAATTTGGTGTCAGCCTACATTGCGGGATTACGTAGACACCAGTCGATTTGCGTGACCTTGACCTTATTTTCAAGGTCACCACGACACTTTGACCACTTTTCCAACTCTTGTTCACGCGATATCTCATGAACTGTTGTACCCAATGTCTTCAAATTTGGTGTCAGCCTACATTGGGGGATTACGCAGACACCAGTCGATTTGCGTGACCTTGACCTTATTTTCAAGGTCACCACGACACTTTGACCACTTTTCCAACTCTTGTTCACGCGATATCTCATGAACTGTTGTACCCAATGTCTTCAAATTTGGTGTCAGCCTACATTGGGGATTACGCAGACACCAGTCGATTTGCGTGACCTTGACCATATTTTCAAGGTCACCACAACACTTTGACCACATTTCAAACTTATTTAAATGCATATCTTATAAAACATTGCACGCAGTGTTTTCAATTATGTTGACAGCCTACATTGGGTGATTATGCAGACACCAGTCATTTCAGGCATCGTGTGTGTGTCCAAAAAAATAAAAAATAGTAAATATAGATATTCCTTTCTTTAGCGGCGGGGACATTGCCATATCAGTGGCAAACACTTGTTTAAAGTTGTCTTTGATGTTTCTGGTACATTAAGTGAATTATTTTGATTGTGAAGATGTGTTACATAATGATGAGCTGTATCCCGGAGATAACACAGTGTGTGCATTAAAACTTTATGTTAAAACCTGTTTCTCTTTGTCTATATAATAAAACAATTATAGACTCTTTTAGAGAGTCAATATCGGTTTTATATATCAATATTGTTTTACTCAGGTCAATAAAAACCGATATCGACCTCTAAAAGAGTCTATAATTGTATAATGTCACTGGGCACATCAAAAGCGACCGGTCCGGGTGGGATAGAAAATAAAGTACTTAGATATACCGCAAATAGTCTAACATCCATACTTACGAAATTATTCAATTTATCGCTTAGCCTGTCAATTTTTCTCAGTCCATGGAAAGAAGCATCGGTAATACCTATTCACAAGAAAGAAAGCGTACATGAATGTTCTAACTACAGCCCTGTCTCACTAACATCTTGTTTATCGAAAGTCTTTGAGAAATGTGTATTTAAATATGTATTCAATTTCTTAAGAGATAACGACTTAATGACAAATTTACAATCAGGATTCATGCCAGGAGACTCCACAACAAATCAATTAACCTTTTTGTACAACTTTATAGCCAAAGCTCTTGACGAAGGAAAAGAGGTTAGAGCAGTCTTCTGCGATATAAGTAAAGCATTTGATAAGGTCTGGCATAGAGGAATTATTTATAAACTGAAAACCTATGGTATCCAAGGCGAACTATTAAAATGGTTTGAAAGTTATTTAGAAAATAGAGTACAACGGGTCGCAAGTAACGGCTATAAATCTGACAAGAAAACTGTACAAGCTGGAGTGCCTCAGGGCTCTGTACTTGGACCACTTCTTTTTCTGATATACATCAATGATATTGTATGTGATGTTGACAGTAACATTCGTCTCTTTGCGGATGACACCTCATTATATGTTATCATAGACGATCCATCAGTTGCTGCAACATGAGAACTATATGTGGTGCCATTCGTGGCACAAGTCATAACAAACTTTATAATGAAACCAAATCTCAGTCCTTGCAAGATAGAAGGTATTGCCAGAAGTTAACTTTTTTTCTATAAGCTGTACAACAACCAATTGCCAAAATATCTTTGTGACCTGATCCCAAACCCCGTCTCCGGAACTACAAACTACAGCTTGAGGAATAACTCTGAAATACAAGGAATTTACAGTCGCACTGCCTCTTATGCTAAATCCTTTTTACCTGCCACAATAAATTTATGGAATGCTCTACCAAATTCTTAAGCGTCATGTAGTCTCACAGAATTTAAAAACCTAATTACAAAAACTGAAAATAAGATTTACTTTGACCTTAATTATGGCACTCGTTTTTGCCAAATCGTTCACTGCCGCCTCAGGCTCGGATGTAGCGACCTAAACTCCGATAAGTATAACAGACATTTAATAGACAGCCCATGTTGTTCTTGTGGACATCGGAGTGAAAACGCCCTACACTATTTCCTCACTTGCCATAACTATACTCGGATAAGACTTAATATGTATTTTTACTTTACCGGTTATAACCTGGATACCATTCTTAAGTGAAACAAAGAACTTACTCCCTGTGTAAACCAGAAAATAGTTGAATCCGTCCACGATTATATAACCAAGACACAACGCTTCAAATTTTCTTAGGAAAATAATTAAATTTATTCAACAACCTTCTCATGATTGATTTATATTTCTACAATGGCTTGTTAGACACACACAACTGTAACACTCTAACTTATGACTACTTAGAGAATAGTTGTATTTCATGTTATCTGTATATATTTATATATATTTAAAAATATTATATTTATGCAATGGTCAGTATCGACGTCAAATCCTCCATTTCATGTTGTATTATACGTTGCATGGGAGCGGTGTTAACATAAGCAGTAATGCCGGTTCATCCAATCCCAATTCATCTTCATGAATGAAAATATGTTTAAATCAAGTGAAATTAAGATTGGGAATCCTCATAATTTTACCATGCCAATTGAACATTTAAATATCGGAATTTTATTCAACTTAGGATAACAGTTGTTTAACAAACGATCATAGTTTCAAATCGCTATTATTGGTTTGTATTACAAGGGGGTATGCACATTAAATGAAACACCGAGAACAAGTAGGGTTTGGTCTAAGTTAACGCTCATCATGTACCGCATGTGCATTTGTTTAACTGTTTCAACTACTGCGCTTACCCCTTGTAATACAAACCAGTAATAGCGATTTGAATCTATGATCGAACCCGCAAGTTTCCCTCTCGGGTGGACGTTCTAACCACTACACGGCTTCACGGATTACTCAACCTGGTATAGCTTGTTAGACCCTAAGCCTCTAACCAACTGTATGGAACCTGGCACACCTCGGCTTATTTGCAGCACCACCTCGACCTAATTGCAGCACCGCCTTGACCTACCTGCAGCATCCACCTCAGCTATCCTGCAGTTTATAATTATCACCTCGGCTTATCTGCAGCACCACCTCGACCTACCTGCGGCGCCACATCGGCTTACCTGTAGCACCACTTCGGCTTACCTGCAGCACCACCTCTGCCTACCTGTAGCACCACCTCTTACCTGCACCTCCATTACCTGCAGCACCACCTCGGCTTACCTGCAGCACCTCCTCGACTTACCTGTAGCACCACCTCAGCTTACCTGCAGCACCACCTTGACTTACCCGCAGCACCACTTCGGCTTACCTGCAAAACCACCTCGGCTTACCTGCAGCACCTCTTCGGCTTACCTGCAGCACCACTTCGGCTTACCTGCAGCACCACCTCAGCTTACCTGCAGCACCACTTCGGCTTACCCGCAGCAACACCTCAGCTTACCTGCAGCACCACCTCGGCTTACCTGCAGCACCTCTTCGGCTAACCTGCAGCACCACTTCGGCTTACCTGCAGCACCTCTTCGGCTTACCTGCAGCACCACTTCGGCTTACCTGCAGCACCACTTCGGCTTACCCGCAGCAACACCTCAGCTTACCTGCAGCACCACCTCGGCGTACCTGCAGCACCACTTCGACTTACCTGCAGCACCACCTCGACCTACCCACAGCACCACCTCAGCTTGCCCGCAGCACCACCTCCAGCTGAGATCAAGGACATCAATACAGTACTAGATTATCATTGGCCATTTTGGCTGCGTGAGACACTAATGTTGCACGATGCTCTAAATTGATATTTAATATAATGTTGTGTAAAATAGCATGGATTCATTCGCGTATAAATATGATCGTAACAGGTGTTTACTGGTATTGCCTTCTACCTTCATCAATCTATTACATTGTGTAACAGTTGGGAAGCAGGAAGGAAATTAACAATAGGATTGAGCCTCCCCTACTTTGTTGGTATTGTTTGTCGTCTCACAGTATTCCAGCTATATGGCGGCGGTCTGTAACTAAGAGAGTCTGCACCACTGAGCTCCAGTGATCTAAACATTGTGGAATGTTTTGTGAGTGATGAGAGAGAGAGAGAGAGAGAGATATAGAGAAATGGTAAGG